ACAAAATTTGTCAACAAGAGTAATAACTTAAGAGTAACAGCTGACTTTGTTTAATGTCTCATGAGGTTTTTGTAGACGATGTAAATATAACTGTTGAGAACGGGTAAACTAAATAGATGCAAAAGGATAAAGATTTTATGTTTCATCAAAATAAATTTCCTATGTTGCTTTTGTCGGGTCCTTAATCACAGACACTAGGGTTGTTCTTACAAATATTTCATTCTCTGCATTCACCTAAAATTCTTTAACTGTCACTGTGGTTAAAGGGATAAGTAAACATCGTTTCATAGGGACCTATGATATTACATGGGTAAATGTCATTGATGCAAATGTTTTAAAAATTGTATAAAGTTACTAAAATTCTGACCTGTCCTGACTGTCAGCCATAATTCTGGTTGTTGTCTCGGAATGTCATGTGTCACCAAAAATAGCCAAGTTTCTTTGTCAATTGCCATTTTTAAGTCTTTTATTATTTACAGACAGTTGTTATTTTACTCTGATGTTTTTACAAATACGTTTCATCTTTAAAGAAATTCACGGAAAGGATTCTGGGGCTTACTCTAGAACACAGGTTTCTGATAAAGTTTCAGATAATAAAACTAAACTGGGTAAAACATTGCAGAACTCTAATGGGAAAACTGATGGCCTTATGAAACTGCCGCCAGAAAATCAAGCATTGGTTACATAAAACTAAGTAAACTGATAGGGATAATTATAACTTTATGACTTTGTGTTTAAAATCGTGCTAATTTTTAAAAATGATTTGCATTTTGTTTTCTCAGCTTTAAGGAAATCTTTTCGTCTTTTCTCTTATGCTAAGTAAAACTTATAGCAATTTGATGAGATTATACATTTGTAAGCAAAACTGAAATGTTTGTCTTTTTCTCCCTATCTGATCCCTCCAGAATTTAAAAACTCCTGATGACTAAGTATTCTTCTTTTCGTGGCTTTATAATTATTTGCATAAGTTCAATAAGAACCTGTCCTTCTTATAACAGGACACAATTGGAAACACTGGTTATAATTCCAAGGCTTTGACTGGAACGTCATATTTGAGAAAACATAGGGGCTCAGATATGACCAAACAGCTTTTGAGAAACAAAGATTGACTTCCTGGCATAAAGACACTTGGAAATATTGGCCTGGTCCCTTGCTTATGGGTTCCCAGAAACCTGGGAAGGTCAAGTAAAGAATGTCACTCCCTCTGGCAGGTACAAGGAACCTCAATATTTTGGGGACCATGTGAAGAGGGGAATTCACCCAAACCTGTAAGTACTGCACACGGAATCTGATGACAAGTGCTTGGTCTGGCTTTCTTAGCCTTGAGAAGCCTTTAAACTTCAATCTGAGATTCCTTATAAGAAGTTCCAGCCAAACAGATTTAAAAGAGCCGATAGGATCAATTGCTATTCTTGCTGTACTTATGTAAATAATTGGGCCAAATTTATTAAAACTAAACTTATTTTACAACCCAGTTATTCTTCATTTGGCTGAGCTTGGTAAAATGGAGGGTAATTTTAGAGAGAAAAATTATGTTTCAATACAGACTAAAATACACATTCATGAATATTAGATTCTGGCTCCATTAATCATCTTTGAAATTGTTGTTTTATAGCTGTAATCTGGACTGGATCCTGAATTCGTCTAGTCTCCTGAAATATCTGAAATAACAAATCTCCAAAATAATGTTTTCCATTTTTTTCCATCATTTCCATTTGCAATCATTGAAAACTAAACCTGCCCTTTTCCTGAAGCCTTAAAAAGTGAAGCTGGAGGACTTGATGTAAACTTAGGAGAGATGCTTTCGCCCCTCAAGGACAGTCTCTCCACCCGTCATGGTTCTACCCTCATTTGATTCTCTCCCTGCCCCTTGTCTGAGCCCGGTTCTCGGTTCTCTGGGTTTCCTGGCCCTTCATTCTGTGTGATCTCTGAACATCCTTTCAAACAGAAAACAGATTCTTTTTCTGCTTACCGTCGGCCAGAGTCCATTTCTGTTCCTTGCAGTCATAAACCTTGACTGACCTTCAAGTTCTCCTGGAGGAGTGCTCTGTGTTTTTTGTTGCTGCTCAACTTCTTGGTTTTCCAGGAGGACATTTTGGCATCCCCTCACACTTTGAGGAGAAGAACAACTTCCTCTCCATAAGAAGAGTAGCTCCTTTGCCTCCTTTCTCCTTGATTCAACTCTCACCCAGTCGCTTGGGACAAAATACACCTTCCAGCAACACTGGGCCAGCAGCTTCTTTTCTTTCTTTTCCTGTTAATGCTAATTTTTCTGTTCCGTGTATTGGATCAGGGAAGAGACGGCTTTGGGACACAATGAAGAAATAAAGGGGAAAATGGAATACACAGATTATGATTTTGAGATATAATATGAATTTACATTTCTTACACATGTAAATATGTAGTGTGGTGGTATTTTGTGTACATAAATACTGTATGTACTGTTAAGACAACTTGGGTCCACATCCCCTATGACCCAGTGAGGAGTGCTCTTGGGTGCCCTGTTAGTGTACATGTTTTAAATCCGTGCAGTTTCCGGGTCGTGATATATTGAGAAGGTGGAATGGAATTGACTTGGCCAAGCTCTCAGAAGAGAGTCTGTGGCTGTATAATTGTCAGGGCCCTGCCTCGTGGCCTCCACGGTGGGCGGTTGATTTTGAGACACCGCAGGCGAGTATGGTCTGGTTGGTCGGAGTGTTTGATATAAACGTTAAACACGGTTGATAACTTTGTATCGTGAATGTAACAACTATGCGTTTGTTGTAAGAAAGAATTACAACGACCACAACAAAACCCCCAGAGGTGCATGAAGAAGAAAAGGAAAGCTCCCCCGCCTCCCCACCCCGCTCCACTGCGGACACACCGTCGTATATATGACGTGAGGAGGCGTGCCGGCTTTGGACGTGCTGGGTGCTGCGCGCCCAAGGGACCCAGGAAGTCCCAAGTCCCGCCCTGACAACCGTCTGCCCTCTCTGGGCCATGGGAAAAGTGAGAAGGCAACGAAGAGGAAAGCAAGGCTACTGTTTGCAGAAATGTCACCTCAGGACAGGAGACTCTGGTAAACTGAGGCGGAATAGGCGGCTTAGGAGGGAGGCGTCAAGGGCTCCTCTTCCCGGGCCCGAAGCCCAAGAGTGGATCTCACCTCCTTTTCCGAGGTGCGAGTGAAGTGAGGAGAAGTCAATCAAAGGAGGGGGGCGCAGAGAGAAAGCGAGGCGGTCGGCCACGCACGCAGCTCCACTGTCCCGGGAAGGGAAGCCTTGGGAGTGTGCGCGGGAGCCGCGGGCGCCCGGGGAGGACTCACCCGCCCGCTCTGGCGAGCGCGGAAGGCGCGGCTCCCGCGGGGGTTCCATGGTGTAATGGTGAGCACTCTGGACTCTGAATCCAGCGATCCGAGTTCAAATCTCGGTGGGACCTTGCCCTTCCCTTCAGGATGACGGCCACTTTTTACTCTTCAAACGGCTGCTCCCGGTCCCTCCCCCCTCCCGCTCCTGCCGCCGCGTCCCCCGCTCTCTCCCGCCTCCTCCGCGGGAGTCGGGGTCCCGGACACCGGGTTCTGTGCGGGCGCGTCCACACGGACAGGGCCGGCGTGGCGGGGTCCCTCCCAGCCTGCGGTGCCCCCGCTGGCCCCGCGCAGCTCTGCCAGTCGCGGCGCCTCGGAGGCCCCGGCGCCGCCGCCCAGGGTCCCGGCGACCGAGCCAGGGCCAGCCCCTCGGCAGGGTCACCCTCGGGCCTCGGGGCCAAAGGCAGAGGCGGCGTCCGCTCCGTCCCGCACCACGAGGGGCCCCCGCGCGGTCCGTCTTGTCTTCGGACCCGCGGGCTCCTGGTGGGAGAGAGAGGGGTCCGCGGGAGACGCGGGGAGGGAGGCGGCGGCCGGCGCGGCCCTCGGCCAGGGTGTCTGGGTTTCGGGGTCGACGCTTCGAGACCCGGCCTGGAGGCGCCGTCTTTTCTTTAAACGACCCGTTTCATTCAGAGTGTTCATTTATTCTAAGTCTGACGCACTCAGGCTGCGGTCAGAACGTCCAGCTCCTAAGTCCCCGCGGGACGCTCAAGGCCGCTGTCATACTCGACTTCGGAGCCCGACCCCCGGGGGTCTCCTCCCTCCGCCCCCAGCTGCGCCGGAACCAGGACTCCGGGCCGCGGAGCCCGGCGTCGGTGGAGACCAGGGGTCCCCAAGCGCCGGCCGCCCCGGCCCGGGCTCCTCCGGGGCCGCGGGTGAGCCGAGCGCGGGCAGCTCCGAGGCGCGGGCCCGCGGGCTCCCCGTGCGTCCTGCCGCCCCCTGGCTCCGCGGAGAAGACGCCCGAGGCCGGCAGCGGGCGGAGGCGCGCCCCAGCTCTCCCGCCCCGTGGGCACGCGCGGGGCGGGGCGACCGCGGGCCTCCCGCGCTGCGGACGGCGTCCTCCTCCGGGCGCCTTTCGCTCAGAAGCTCCTCGACCAGGGCTCCGGGGCACAGCAGGGCTGACGGCCTCAAGGCTGGGGAAGTCCGTTAGGCACTCTAAAAACCCAAGCTTTCCCGTCAGTAAGGCACTGAGAGTTGGCTTCGGTCTTGGTTCGGATATTCCCCTTTTGAGCAAGGAGACCTCCCGCTGCCGGGGAGAAGAGAGGTTCACGGCTCTTGTCCATCGAACCGGATCCGTCCGTAGGACGTGCGACCTCTGCTTTCAACGTCCTGAACGCTCCCTCGGCATCCTGTGCTTTTCAGTCGGTTTTCTTTGGACGCGCCCTTGTGTCCCGCCCGCACTCCGCCGCCGCCGCCGCCGCCGCCGCCGCCGCGTCACGGACAGGGCGTGTCCTATGCAGATATGGCAGCTCAGGGGCTGCTGTTTCGGCATCTGCTTAAACACAATATGATCTCGCGTGCTTTGGGACCGAGTGCAGGGCTGCTGCTTGAAAGTGCGTGTGCCAGCAGTGTGGAAGGGCTAGGGCGGCTCGGGGAGCAAAGTTACTGTGTGTGTACAGTGCAAGGCTTCTGAGGGTGTGGCGGGGAGGACGATTCTGTTGTCATACTTGTCTAGTAGAGAAAATACCATAATCGCGAAAGTGGTTTTATTTTTTTCAGAGAAAAGCTTATCCCTCATTTTCGGGATATGCTGATTCTTGCGATTTCCCCCAATGGGGGGAAGTCGATTACACAATTTGCGGCAGTGGGGTGCTGAGTTCGCCTTGTTTTCTAGGTTTTAGTAGTTCACTGTCGGTTGAGCGACGTTCAGAAGCGTTCGTGGTGTTTCGCGTGGTGGCGAAACAGGAGTGGTGTAGTCGAAACGACGTAGCGCGAGGAGTACGTGACCTGCAATTTGGGTGTGTGTTGTTGCTTCGTTTATGGAAGCACCGCCTGTTTGTGCGCGCGCTGACTCGCGAGAGCTTCTCGTCTTGCGAGGCCGTTTGTTTTGCGTTGTGGGTGTTCCCAGGGACTGTTGTTCCTCCAGGATGTAAGAGTTGTGGGCGACGCGGAGGTGCACACCGTCGTCTGCTGGTGCGAGGTGGAATGCTACCCACGGCTGCTACAGTGAGGTTTCCTTTCCGTTTAGCAGGATACATATGGTGCTTGTCTCCGTGTAGTGAGATGACTCTCTCCTCGCGTCCAGGGCATCTTGCACCTAGAGGCCGCGCGGGTCGGAACAGTCGGACCTGAGTCCTGCCGGGATATCCTGCCTGTGGAACGTACCGTAGGAAGTCTTGGGAGGAGCCGTGACCAGTTTCCCGTCTGCCCGGCTTGCGAAAGGCTGCAGCTGGGCAGCCTTCCTTGCCCGTCTTCTGCCCTTTCAATATCGACTCTTTCCTCAAACTTCGTTTCTTGAGTGTCAGCTGCCGTGCCTGATGTCTTGCTTCCACACCTTACGACCGTTGCTAGCCAATTCCCTAGATACCATCCCATCCATCATCCCCACCCCAAAGCAGCCTCTTCATATGTCGGCCTCCAGCTTCCTCTCCCCCACCACCTCTTCTGTTTCAGGCCCTCTCTTATTAGGCCGACAGCAGGAGCGAGCTCTCAGCCTCCAACTTGCACCTGCCATGCTTCCGTGGCCTGCCAAATTAGGAAGTTTCATTAATATCCTGCCTCCTTAAACGGCAGTAGGAATTGTAAATAACGCTTCCCCCCCCCCACTGTCAGAAGTAATTTTAATTTTTTCCTTATCCGAAAATGCTGGGATATTGAACTACACTCTAGAAGAAAACCCCAGATCCGGTGTTGGGAGTCGTGGGCATTTGGCCGACCCCTTTCCCAGGACGTGTCTGTTCTCGTACCTCCCTCACCCTCGCTTCTGATCCCGAACGTCCTGGCGGACAGAAACTCCCCGGCCAAAGAGAAAAGGCGGGGACCGAGGCGGGGTGGACGATCGCGCCCCCTCGTGGCCGGCGCCCACAGACCCGCTCGGCCGCAGAAGCTACCGAGACCCGCGCCGGGTTCATACATGCCCCTTCCTAATCACATTTTCTTCCCTGCCCGTAGCAGCACCTTTGCGGGAGGAGACCCCCCAGAGCCGGCCAAGTGCTCTATGCCTTTGATGGAGGCACACTTCTTCTTAAACAAGTTCGGTCTTTTATTCCTTGCAGCCAGAAAGAACACACCCCATGATCCAAGTAAGAGGGCGTTAGAAGGAACCTATTATAGGATTTGGGCTTCGGCTGGGTGATTTGGGGAAGGATGGAAGGAGGCAGGGTTTGTTCCATACTGAATACTGTTGTCAGCAAGGGCGATTCTATGATTGGACTAAAGAAGTAACAGCCACTTCCTTAGAAAAAGAGGAGGATGTTTGGGATTTTGCAGGTTGCATAGTGAGCTTGTCTTTGTCTGTGCCTGGACAAAATTATGAGGTAGCCTTGTTTTGTCTCATTTTATCCAGGTCTGAGAGTAATCTTGTCTGAGGTTGATATTCTGTATGTGAGATTGTTTATTTCCAGCATGAGAACAAAACGGTCAGGCTGTGAGTGTCAGATCAGTTCAGGGCATCGTAGGCTGGTATTTTTCTTTCTCTCTGGAAATCCCTAAAATAAAGAACCAGGAAAGAGAGCACCCTGGTCTCACAAGCTTTAGGTGCAAACCTGACTGGGTAACAGTGTGATGTTGGCTAAGTTTCTTGAATTTTCTGTGGCTCAATTTCTCGCTTAAAAATGGGTCAAATAGGAGTTCTTCCTCCCTGGGTTGTCCTAGGTTTAAATGAGATGTGCAGGGATAGCACTGAGCCCAGTGCCTGGCACAGAGTAAATACTCAGTACATCTTAGCTCCTCCCAGTCCAACCCCATCTGCATTGTTATTATCTGCCTTGTTTTTTCAAACAGCTTCAGACCCTTTCAGGGTATGGATGGGCCACTATAAATAAGTGTTCTCCAATTGATGGACATGGAATTGGTTCCAGTGTTTTACAAACAATGCTGCATGGGACATCTGTATATCTATATCTATATCTATATCTATATCTATATCTATCTATATCTGTATCTATCTCTATCATTGCTTGTGTAAGTATTACTCTAGCATCTGTCTCTGTAAAGGGAAGTGCTGGGTTTAGAAATATATTTGTACATGTATAGTTTTGCTAAATCCTGCCCTACTGCCTTGCAAAGAAGCTTTACCACTTCATATTCCCAATCATTTAAGAGAATATCCTTTTCTCCACCCTCTTGCCAACACTGGGTAGCATCTGTACCTACCACCTATTTTTGTCAACAATTAAACCCTTATTGAGAGAGTTCCTCCAATGAGTTTATGCTCATTTGTCTGACTTCACTGACATCCTGGCAAAGCTGAAATCAATATGATTTTTCTCTGTTCTCTTCTATGTTATGACTGCTCTGTTCTCTCAGATAATCTGGGCCAAGAGACGTGCAAACATCTCACTCCTCCTGGGTGGATGCTATTGCCTGTTGGGTTTGCACACTGTCCTGGATTTTGATGGTGAGGGCCTGGTTCATAGATGAGGTTTGAGGTTGGGTTCCCCTGAGTTCCATTGAGAGAGTCCAGGCTGCAGGGCATTGGGAACTCGCTAACCCTAAGGAGTGAGGTGTCCATGACTGGAATTGAGCAGAATAAAACCTGGAAAATAGAGACCTGTAAGTTGAAATTTTCGTTAGAAATGGAGTTCAAAAAATAGTACTGTTCTTGGTCGCATTAAAGAGACATTCCTCCAGCGCCTGAAATGCCCTTCATAGTGTCCTTCATGATACAAGGGCTTGGGAACAGTCATAGGAAGGGGAACACAAGATTTACACGGCGCAAGGTTTTTACTGTGGTTCTTTGATCTTTTTTAGTTCACGGGGTGTAGCATACATGTTTCTGAAAATTAAAAAATCAGCAGAATAGAGAGAAGCATCTGAATTAGTTTTCTATTGCTGCCTGTTAACAGATTACAAAAACAGTGGTATAAAACAACACACATTTGTTATCTCACAGTTCTGTAGATCAGAAGTCTGGAAGGATGTGACTGGATTCTCTGCTCACAGAATTGGTCGGTGTGTCCTCTCCACCTGAATAGGTCTGATATTGACCCTGTCGGCGTTCTGACTGTCTCCCATGAGGGCCTGCCCTTGCGATCTCATGCTCCCCTGGGATCCTCTTTATTGACCTGATTTCTCTCCGTCATGATTTCTTTCCGCTCACCTAGGCGGCTTAGGAGAAAGCCTAGAACTGTGGAGCCCCAGAACTGACCTCCGCCATCTCTTTCTCCAAGAGGAGAATAAAATCACAGAGGTCTTCAGACAGAAATTACCCAGATGAGGGTTGAGATCCCCAGTGATTAGAGCAGAGAAAACCTAAAGGACAATGGAGGCACTAAAAGCGCTGACTGCGGAAGCAGGGTCCCCTTTGTGTCCCACATCAGGTGAGAACCCTTCCTGGAAAGGGGGACATTTCCCACACAAAGGACACCTTGGACAAGGGACTTACTGTGCTCCAACTGAGTCATTCTTGCTGCCCCTAGAGCTTTTGGAGGTTTCCATCCTAGATTGTTTGTTTAATGGTGGGGCTCTTTCCTTGCATGAGATTGTCCTTGGAATTTTTTTCTGAAATGCAGTTTTTTGGGCCTTAACCACAGACGTTTTCAACAAGCGCCACCCTGTCTCTGATGTGGATGTCTTTAGCTGTGAAGCTGGTGGCCACGGATTGGAGCCCTGTCTACTGCATGATATCTCATTTAATCATCCACCACTCTAGTGGTCAATGCTGCCTTCTCTCTTTCACATTCTACATTCTTCTCTATTATACATGAGATAGATACGCTCAAAGAGGGTAATGAAATCCTCCACAAAAGCATTCTGGGTCCATGGTGGAGCTGGTCTTTGAACCTCTGACTGCCTTTCCTAAGGCCGTGCTTTTATTGCTTCAACACAGACCTGGGATAGGGTTTTCCTGCAGATGCGGTTGGGACCAGAAGACATCAGTGAAAGTTAGTTATTCCTGGGAACTCTTATTTATCCACTTGGCAAGTATTTCCTGAGAGGTTTATCTGGCGGGCTCTTGTGGAGGCCCTGGGGAGATGGGGTGGACAAGGTAGAGAGCGCGCCTGCTCTCAGGAAGATGATCTTCTGACACAGGAGCTAGACGTTTCACAGATGATCCCATAAATACATTTTTTTTTTTAAAGATTGGCGCCTGAGCTAACAACTGTTGCCACTTTGTTTTTCCCCTTGCTTTTTCTCCCCAAATCTTCCCAGTACATAGTTGTATATTTTAGTTGTGGGTCCTTCTAGTTGTGGCATGTGGGACACCGCCTCAGCATGGCCTGACGAGTGCTACCATGTCCGCACTCAGGTTCCGAACCAGTGAAACCCTGGGCCACCAAAGCAAAGCCCTCAAACTTAACTGCTCGACCACGGGGCTGGCCCCCCTAAATACATTTCAATTGTCACTGTGATAAATTGTATTTAATACTTGTGTGTGCTGGTCTCATTGTGCCAACTAGGCTTGAAAACTGACTGAGTATACATAAGAAGACTATCGAACTGTGATAAAAAGAATTGTCCCCGACAAGGTCCTTCAGATATTTTTGTTTTAACAGTGGAAATACTGATGTTTGATCCAATGTCCCTTCAAATTCAGATGTGGGTTCCTGGAGGGTGTGGTAGGTGCTTTTGCACATGGAATCTTGTGGCCGATGCTTGTGTGGTGCCTCTGCCGCTGTCAAGTGGTGAAGGATCCTGGGAAAATCTCCTGTTCTCTCTGGGCCTCAGTTTGCTCATCAGTAAGATAAGGTTGTTATTCAAATTCTCAAAATCCTTTCCTGCTCGGTTTTCTCTAAGTGCGTGAGGGACTGAGTTGTGTGTTAAATGTGCCCTGGGAACTGCAGCCAAGAGCCGACCTTGGTCCCTTCTCTGTGTGTCTCCTGCAGGAGCCTGAGCTGAGCTCATGGGCTGAAAACACAGAACTGGGAGAGCAGAGGGAAGAAAGGAAATCAGCAGGTTTGGAGGATTAGAACAACCCAAAGAATGGTCAGGTACTGGTGGAGCAGGTGGCTGCCAAAGGAGGTAAGAATCAGGCCAAGTTGAGTTCAGAAAAGTCAAGGGAAACTGAGGAATGCGTACAGCATCACCCAGCTCCGCATGAGCAGGCCTGAGCTGAACAGTGATGACTGGGAGAGCAACTTACTCCACAGCGAACCTGTGCACCTGCCCAGGAGATCCAAGGATGGATCGGGGTTGGTTTCTACTTCTGGGAAGCACCAATTCCAAGAAGAGGAGGAAGCGACCATGAGGCTCTGCCCTAGACCCCCCAGCCTTCACCTTGGGGCTGCCCTCACACTGGATACCCTCCCAGTAGGTGTGTGGGCTTAGAGGGATACATGATGTTTGAGGAAAGGCTGGAGATGTCCATTCTTACTTTAAACAGTTGTGCCCTAAAGCCAGGAGGGCCATGGCTAGGGAACCCTTGCCCCTGAACCAGTGATACTAATAATATTCTTCTGTATTTATGTTGAGAAAGGCTTCACACACAACATCTCTTAAATATTTGTTGAGAGCTTAATTTCCCCTATGCTGTGTTAAGAACTTGGAGTTTAGATATGAGTGAGATTTCCCTGAGGAGATCAGAGCAGTGAGAGGAAGAATACAAGCAGGTAGTTTCAACACAATGTGGTAGCTCTCGTAAGCTTGGGTGTCGTGGCAGCCCAGAGGATGGGAGGAGAGGCCGAGGACATATCTTCCTAATGACAGGGTGAACCATTGAGTGGAAGCCCTGAGGACAGTGCCGTCATCATCAGAGCTGACCCCAGGTGAGTGCCATAGGGCCTAGAGAGTGTAGGGCAGGCTCCTCTCTAAGGATGGGCATCTGCTACATCCTGAGACAGAGCAGAGCATTCCTGGCAGGACATTTGGGACAAGAAGGTAGTGAGATGATGATTTGCAACCACTTTGATTTGATCAGTGATTGAATGTCACGAGAGCCTCGTCAGGGCTTGACTTGGTGCTGGGAGCCATGAATACAGAGATGTAGAAAATATTCCAGCTTCGCAGAGCTCTCAGTCTAGGAACCAGGAAGTCGTGAAAAATGTAGTGGTAGTGGGTCATTGCAGGAAGTGGCCAGTGCTGCCTTGGGATGACCTCACTGGTTGTCTTTCTCCCCTTTCTGTTTTTTCCAGCAGATAGATGACCTTTCCTGGCCCAGTGACCTAGGACCTCAGCCAGATTTCAGCCTCTCAGGATACAAGCAATTAGGCTCCATGTTGGCTCCAAGCAGTCAACACTACCAATGTCACCAGAGAAAACTGCTGATCTCAGTACTTACTGTCTATGTCCTGGCCAGCTGGAGAAATAAAGAGGCAAGTCTAACTAGGCTTTTTCTTTAATTTTAATTTTTTTTCTTTTATTTTTAATGAGGTAACCTTGATTTATAACATTCTACAGATTTCAAATATACTTCAGTGTTATTCGACTTCTGTTTACGTGACATTATTCACCACCAAAAGTCTAGAGAATCTCCTCCAGAGAGTGTCCTGGCGACCAACTGTCACAGTTGAGTGTCCCAAATATTGGCATGGGCCTCCTCCCTGTGTTTCATTTCACAGATCTTATTTACATAGTAGCCGTATCAAGAGAAAAAACAGAGAGATGGACTCGAAATGACTGAACAATGTGTGATTCGGCAGTGAATCTCAAAAACTTTCAAGATCCCACTCAGAAAGTGATGTTTTCGGGAATACAATCCATGGTTGGTGTGTAGTGTCATGTAGTGAGAGAAAATCAATTGCATTTAGCAGCACCTAGTGACTTGTAAAAACAACACCTTCCCCAAATGACCCAAATGATGACCGTATATACCAAATAACGAAGAGAGCCACTGATTTCCATTGATCTTACAGAAACAGGAGGTCCTTCATGCGCTTAAACAAGCTGGGCAAATGGCTTGGTCTCTAGGGCCATGAAACAAAACAAATCCCATTGTGGGTGCCGTAAGAAGAGGCAAAACAGATTTGATGGCAGTGGCCGCAAGATGGCAGAGAAAATGGCTTGAGGCTTTTGGAGTCGCAAATGAGTTGGCTCAGAAGAGCATGACATCTTAGAAAAACATGTTTGGCAAAATTTTGGACCCCGTGGACACTAAATGTTTAGCCAGTGATCTGCAGTCATTCTGTATAGAATTCATTCTGTATTCTCTTGGACCAACAGTGACTTTTACAAAGGAGGTCAGGAAGCTGCACATCAGCACACACACCTGAAATGGAAACGGTGTATTTTTTCAAAGAAGCCTAAATAATAGAGAAGTTATTTCTCATTTCCAAATTGGAGTTTTTGACCTAACTGAAGAATTGACTGCCATAGATATTAACTACTCATGCTGCTCACAAATATGCCAACTTAAAGACAGTATGATAACTTTGATAAATAGCAATGTAAAACAACTGCTTTTACTGTTAGCACACTGTCCTCCAGGGATGTCAGTGGAAGTAGTGAGCGACATTACAACACCTGAACGACCCACAGGAAACAGGCCAAAGAAGGAGGAGACAGTCAGCCCAATGTATAGAATTATGTGTAATGTACACAACTGTGAGTTGGTTGGTAACAAACCAATGGGATAAGTCTATGTTTATATTGACTCTTGGGTCCTGTCAAATGGGCAGAGCATTGGGAAACAAAACATTGGACTGTACAAAGAAAGTCAGTTTGGACACTGCCTTTAGAAAACGATTAAACAGATATAAATAAAACACATTTAAAGGTGTTTGTGAGCCATGTTTTAGCCCAGCAAGAATAAGCTTTAGGAGAGAGACATAATGACAAATAGATGCTTTGGTCTTTCAGAGACAAGTCATCTGACCCACTGGGAATGAGACCTCGTGAGTCATCCAGGTGAGCAGGCTTTACATGACTGGCTGGAAAGATCAGTGACTAAGGAGATAACTTAAATATGCTACATACACCAGTCAGGGCATAATTTGAACGGAAGGTTTTTCACCCTCTTTTGGGGGGAATGAAGCTGGTGCAAAGGGACTACAGATTCTGTTGCAGCCACAGGGCTCCAATCCTTACAGACTGATGGGAGTGGACACCTACTTCAGAGATGGTATACGAGGCAGTGTCTAAGCACGAACTTATGATATTTGAGGGCTATATCTTTGCGTACCTTTGGAAAGATTCTGGCAGTACATAATGCTGGAATAAATTATGGAAGACTAAATGAAATAATACGGGCGCAAACTGGCCCCTAAATCTTGTAACTGGCGTTGCAACTGAATACAAGGATAAACTGGCAGCCTCACCAACCGAATGGTTACTTTTAAGGAAATCTTGCTCATGAACACACAAAACCTTTCACATTCGTTAGTCCACAACAGCCCTCCTACAAACACCTCCTGGCCACAGGACTCAACATGGGTGTTGATTATCTTCTTTGGCCTGATGATAAAACCTCAATTGATCTGAAGAAGATTCTTCTCACCTGGAAAATACACAAGTCCCCAAAACTGTGGTCTCTGCCAGATCTGGCTTGATTCTGAAGCATTTGTTTCTAGCAGGATACAAGGTCAATATACAAAAATCTATTTTATGTCTATGTAATTCCAGTGCACAACTGAAAGGTAAAAAATAATAGCATCAAACAAATGAAAGTATAGGACGCTGGTGAAAGAAATTAATGCAGACCTAAAACATCAAGACAAATTCCCTGTTCATGGGTCAGGAGACTCATTATTTTTGAGATGTCAGTTTTCCCCAATTGGGTCTATAGATTCAACCCAAGCCAACTCAAATCTCAGTCAGCATCTTCGGGAGACAGTAATCATGTGATTCTAAATGAATATAAAATGACAAAGATCTAGGGTAGTCAAAACATTTATAAAATAAAAAAACAATGTTGGAGGGCTAGCTCTACCTCATTTCAAGAACTATTATCAAGTTATTTTGTTCAAAGCAGTACGGAACTGGTGTAATGATAAGTCAACAGATCGATGGAACAGAACACAGAGTCTAAAAGTAAACTAATACCTATAATGGGACTGATTTTTAAAATTTTTATTTATTTATTTATTTTTTCTTGAGTAAGAGTAGCCCTGAGCTAACACCCGCCACTAATCTTCCTCATTTTGCTGAGAAAGATTGTCCCTGAGCTAAAATCTGTGTCCTTCCCCTACTTGATATGTGGGATGCCTGCCACAGCATGGCTTGAGGAGCAGTGAGGAGATCGCTGCCCAGGATCCGAACCAGTGAATCCCATGCCACCTAAGTGGAGCGCACGAGCTTAGCTGCTACACCTCTGGGCCAGCCCCAGGAGACTGATCTTTGGCAAATGCAAAAAGACACTGCAGTGGGGAAAGATAGTCTTTTCAACACATGATAAAGAATGATCTTTTTCAAGCTTTTCAACTAGTGGTTGTTTATATCCACATGAAAAATACTGAAATAAATAAATAGAATCCATGTCTCACAGGATATCCAAAAATTAACTCAAAATAGATAATAGATCTAAATGTAAACGTTAAAACTGTAAAACTTCAGAAGAAAACAAAGAGGAAAATTTTTGTGACTTTAGGTTAGACGAATATTTCTTAGATTGATACAAAGAACATAATCAATAAAAGAAAACATTGAGAAATTGAACGTCACAAAAATTGAAAACATTTGCTTTTCAAAAAACACTGGTAAGTGAATGAAAAGTCAAGCCACTGTGAGTTGAAAATATTTGTAACTCACTTATGTGAGAAAGGACTTATACCCAGACTACACAGGAACTCTTAAAACCAAATCATAAAAAGACAAACCAATTTTAAATTGGGTGGAAGATTTGTATAGTAATTCTGGAAATAGACAATGTAAGCTATCCATCTTTCATCTACTTTTGTGAAATTGCTTTGATAATTCAAGATCATTTGCATTTCCATATAAATTTCAGAATCAGCTTGTCAGTGACCCAACAAACCTGCTGCAATTTGGATTGGGATCGTAATAGATCTGTGGATCCCTTTGGGGAGAATTGACGTCTAAAACATCTTGAGTTTTCCAATCCACAACAAGTTTCTCTCTCCATTAATTTAGTTCTTTAATTTCTCAAAGTATTGTTCTATAGTTTTCACTGGACCTTTCTTACACATATTTTGTCTGATAAGATAATGCAATAAGAGAATTGGTCAAAAGACTTGAGGAAATACTTCTCAAAAGAAGATATGTTAATGGCCAAAAAGCACATGAAAAGTTGCTCAACTCTGTCGTCCGGGAAATAAATTCATACTGCAGTGGTTACCATTCCCCATCCATTAGCTTGACTAAAATTAAAGAGACTGGAAATACCACATGTGGTGAGGGTGTAAAGCAACTAGAAATCTCTTGCAGTTGTGGGAATGAAAAATGGCACAACCACTTTGAACAGCTGCACCACAGTTAAACACACACCAGTCATGTGAAAAGCCGTTCCACTCCTAGGTGTTTACGCAATATGTCCACACAACAATCCGCACATGAATATCCACAATAGCTTTATTCATAATGGCCAAAACCTGGAAACTGCACACGTGTCCATTAATAGACAAATGTATAAATAGACACGATACAGCCATACAAAGGAATACCCCTTAGCAATAAAAACGCATGAACTGTTTATGTGTGGAGTAACGTGGATGGATTTTAAAATCATTATGCTGCATGAAGAAATGCAGACATGAAAGAGTACATGTATGGTTCCATTATATAAAGTTGTTAAAAACGCAAACCCATCTGTAATGACCGTGGTTGCCTGGGGTTGGGGGTTGAGGGAGTGATGGACTGCAAAGGGGTGCAAGGAAGGTCATGAGCTAATGGAAATGCGCTGTGTCATGATGGTAGCAGTAGTTTCATTAGTGTATAGTCTGTCAGATGCATTTAATTGTATACTTTAAAGTGGTGCAGCCTATTGTACCTAAATTATACCTCAGCAGCATTCGTTTAGTAATCGGTTGTATTTCTCCACTGTAGCCATGAGTTACTGAGAAAATGAAATTCAGTAAAACAATATAAAGATTACCATCCACAATCATTAAATGCCTTAGAACACATATAATAAAGACCCCTGAAAACTATTACTGAGAGAAATTAAAGAAGACCTAAATAAATCGACCAAAATCTATGAAATTCATAGACTGGAAGCTTCAATATTGTTAGAATGACAGATCAACATTATCCCAATTAATATTGCAGCAGGCGTTTTTTGCATAGATTTTTCAAGCTAATTCTAAATTGTATATGGAAGTGAAAGTACCTAGAATAGCGAAGACAACCTTGAAGAAGAATTAAGTTGGAGGACACACTCTACTACATTTCAAAATTCACTTTAAAGCTATCATAATTACAACATTATAATATTGGTGCAAGTAAATACAACACAAGCAAATCAGTGTGAAAGAGTCAAGAGTGAAATATTTACCCACATACACACACAATTATTTGATGTTTTTTTTAATAAAGTCACCAATACGTTTCACTGGGGAAATAAAAGACTTTTCCATAAAAAGTGTTAGAAAAAATGAATATTTACTTAAAAATAAGTTAATATGAAAAACCACGTCCCACCGTAGATTGAAGTTAATTGGAGATGTGAAAGTTAAACCTATAAAGCCTTTGAAAAAACCTGCAAATATTTTCATGAACAGTGACGAGGCAAAAATGTCTTAGACACAATACCCAGGAACTCACTATAGATGAAAAATGGATCAAAGTGGATTTCATAAAGTATCGATTCTTTAGCTTATCATACATGCCTATTTAAAAAGTGAAAAAGCAATCCATAGACTAGGAATAATTACTGGCAATACTTATATCTGATGAGGAACAGTAAATCCAAAGTATGCAAAGAACTTATAAAGTCAGAAGGAAAATTACAAACAACCTCATTTATTACTGAGCAGATTAGAAAAGCCATTTGACATAATAAGAGAGCCACTTGGCCAGTAAGCTTTGGAAAACCAAGATGGCAAACCACTACACAGCCTGCAGGATGGCTAAAATTAAAAAGACTGAGAATACTAAGTGTTGAGGACTATACTAGAGAGACTGGAGGTGTCCTGTATTTGGGGGGAAATGTAAAAGGATACAACTCCTTTGCGAGAGTCTCTGTCGGTTTCTACCCTTTCCCCAGGCAATTCTGTTCCTAGGTGTATGTACCCAGGAGACTGGGTATCTCCACAAGTGAATATCCCCACCAAAACTTATATATGAATATTCACAGTTGCTTCATGCATGATAACCAAAAATGAATCTGTCCATCGTCGGAAAAATGGGTAATGAAATTGTGCTATAACCATAAAAGAGAATATTTCTTGGCAAGTAAAAAACCAAATTATTGACATGGTAGCCTGTCAAGATTGAACATCAAAACCAGATATTGAGGGAAAGAACACAGAACGAAAGAGAGAGACCACATCATTGCATTTATATGAAGTGCAAAAATAAGCAAAATTAATCTATGGTGAGAGAATGCAGAATAGTTTATCTGTGGGGGATGGGTCTTGACTGGCAGGGAGTGCGATAGAAGTTTGGGGTTGATGGAAAATGTTCTGTTTCTTGGTCTGGGTGGTGATTACACAAGGCCTGTGTATGCTAAATTCATGGAGCTGTACTCTTAAGTTTCGCGCATTTTCTTCTAGGTAAATTATACCTCAATAAAAAAAAGTTAGCAATAAAAAAGAGAGATGATGACAGAGTAAAAAGAGTGACAAATGACAGAAAATTGATAATAAATGTTGGACATAAAAATAATAAGAATCCCTTGAGAAGGAACCCAAAGCAATGGAACAGAACAAACACTGAAAAGTATAGTTTAACCAAAAAAGATAATGAAATTTAAAAGTTCTAATAATATTAAAGCGACACGCTGCTACCTTGGGAAAATCAGCCTAGAACAACAAACGCTGAGATTATTCCAGCAAAAGTACTGCCACTCAGTTTGACATCATGGTACGAGGCTGACTTTGAAGGCCAAAGAGAAATGGTTTCTAGTGCTCAATCCTCTGCTCACTCGATGTGTGATCTTGGGAAACTGTGTAGTCTTTCTGGGTTTTCTCAGAAGAGGATAAAACCTGACTAATAGCATAACCAGAAAGACCTGCAACTGGAATGTACAAGTATGTTATACAACTATGTACTGAGGGGCTTTGGGGAGAAGAAGAATAAAAAACCTGACTAACAGGATAGTTCATAGGATTAAATACGAACACCCGAACAATTATAGGCCCTAAGAACGTACACGACTTTGAGTCCTCCATTACTCACTGTAAATCTGTAGCCAGAAAACTATTGGCAGACAGCACATTAGTTGTTCTTAAAAAAACATTTTCCCAACATTTCTGGAAAGAAGTCGTGGATGTCGTAAAAAGAATTGGAGAGGCACAAGAGCCTTTTGAACAGCCATCCCCAGACCCTGAAGCGGGGCTCGTTTCCATCAGAGACCAGAGAGGAAAGTCTTGCCTAAGCCCAACCCCTGCAGTCTTCCCCGTCTGGAGTGGACTGAGGGCGTCCACTCTAGCTCTAGAACAATCAGGGCTCCCAAGGGTTTCTCCGAAAAACAATCAGTTGTTCCACTCTAAAGATATTGAACAATTTTTGAAACTAGGAGAGGTCAAGGAGAAGCTGAAGCACATAACCAGAACTCTCTCCTGAATCAATGCCAGGATGTCAATAAATACCATTTCCCAGATCTCTGTTCTTTTTTTTTTTTTTGAGGAAGAATAGCCCTGAGCTAACTGCTGCCTATCCTCCTCTTTTTCCTGAAGAACACTGGCCCTGAGCTGACATCCATGCCCATCTTCCTCTACTTTATACGTGGGACGCCTACCACAGCATGGCTTTTGCCAAGGAGTGCCATGTCTGCACCCGGGATCTGAAGCGGCGAACCCCGGGCCACCGAGAAGCGCAACATGCGAACTTAACTGCTAGGCCACCGGGCCGGCCCCCCAGATCTCTGTTCTAGTACATGGATGCTCCATCGGAGTGGTGGGCAGGCCTGTGAATATCAATCAAGAAGAATATAAAAATATACCAATTTATAGGAATGAAAATTCAAAAGTGTCCCCCTATACTAACCCAGGAAAGTTCTAA